CTTCCAACCCAAACCATTCTATGATAATTCATTGTCTCAGTACTTGCCTCCAAATATGTATTTTCGGGATCCTAGATCTTGAAGCCCAGTGTTTAGCAGTACTTGAGTTATTCAGATATAAATATATCTGAAAAATAAGTGACTACATATTATGATTTCTAATGCTCTAATAATCTTGATTCATCAGCTCTCAGTAATTCTGCTTTCTGTCTCTTAAGTGATTGGGTTTTTGTAAGAGAATAGTTAACTAACTTATTTTGTGACTTGACTCTCATCAGCTTAGCGGCTCCTGTGATGAGGAGGGGCTGTCAGGGACTCTTTCTTTGTGCTACATTATGCTATTCAACTACGTAACATTCTTCCAGTTCCACTCTGACCTTTTTTTGCTGGGAAAATCTGATCTTCAGTGGTATCCATATGGCTTTTTTCTGCTCAGGTGATTGTGTGCTCTGCAACACTACATTCTTTTGATGTGAAAAAACTATCTGAAAAGATCATGCATTTTCCCACCTGGGTTGATTTGAAAGGAGAAGATTCTGTCCCTGAAACTGTACACCATGTGGTTGTGCCTGTAAATCCAAAAGCTGACAAACTCTGGGAAAGGCTCGGCAAGAATCATATCAGAGTAAGTGGTCTATAAGTGAAAATTAAGATTATTTGCTTATGTTTACTTATTTAACCTTCAGAATTCGGACCTGATGTTGTAGGATTTTTGAAACAGCGCATTGGAAATTATTTGTTTCATGGTAATCAGTATCATGATATTGATGATGTTGTAACACTGCTTCTGAACAGCTCAGTCTTACAAACATGATTGAGGAAGATCTTGATAGAGTAACATTCTGATTTATACTAGAAAACAATAGCACTGCACTGCTTTTTCACTCATTTCACATCTAATGGTCTGTGGCCTAACTGTGATTAGTATCTGTCTCCTCCTGATTGATCAGGAGGAAGTAAAACTTCCAGCATAGGTCATTCTGTAAAGTAGTTTTGTCTCTAACCTATGCGAGACGAGCAATTTTTAGAGGGATGGATTTCATCTCGGACTACATTTGAGACTGGTTTAAATTCTACATTAACCTGATACCTATTCATATGAGAAGATGGTGGTGGTTGTTGTTAAAGTCTTTAGTTTTCAATTTCAGCATAACCTGGAACTGTGTTTCATTCTCAGCAACTCTTACGCAGTTACAATCAATAGGTTTTCTTAACCCTTTGTTATCTCTGGAACTTCCTTCTGTTAGGTCTGTTAGAGCCTGTTCATTAAGTCTTAGCATGAATTTATTTATTGGGTTTATATCTGATTCAGCCTAGCAGAGGGAAAAAGATAAGGAACAACTGTGTGTGTATGATTTAGCCGTGTTGATAGTAATTGTTTTCAGGTTCAGTATTTTGTTGTTGTGGTTTTTTCTTTTTTTAAATTCATCACTTTGTTCAAAGGTGGTTTCTATCCAGTGTCTACATAAATAATTTTATTGTCCTTTTTTTATGAACAAGTTTTGTGTGCTTACACTCAAGACTTTTCCTTAGCTAAAGGTAGCTTGTCTGGTGGGAGAACAGAATGCTAAGATTACTTTTAAACTTTAACTTCTTGCTAATTGTAAGTTAATAGAGTTAAGTTTTTGCTTTGTGAAGTATGGACTAATGACTTTGGGGGTTTATTTGTTTGGGTTTTTCCTAGACTGATGAAGTACATGCAAAAGACAACACACGACCTGGTGCTAACACTCCAGGTAATCAGCAATGCTAGTTTAGTAGTATCTTGTGAAATAGTCCTTTGTAAATGTTATGAAGTAAAGTTGAATTGTAGGAGATAGCGGTCATGTTCCTCCAAATTCTTATTTCTACATTTTTGTAGTTGTGAAGAGAACTGTGTTTCTGTAATTAGGGGGGGGAGAAAAAGACTTGAATATATATTTTGCAGGTATGTAAACAACAAGTGTTTGTTGGTGTGTATAAGTAACCTGAAACTCCTGAGTAGTTTTGTTCTTTCTGTATTATATTACCTCGGAGCAGGGGTGCATGGGCAGAAAGAAGTGAGAACTGAAGGTCTTGCTCACTTACTCTGCAAATAAGAGTTTAACTGTCTACTGAAAGGCAAGAGAAAGCTTCACATGTATGCTGTTAAAAGGCTTTCCATATTTGTAAACAGTTTGAGTGAAATAACTTCTTTACTTTTATGTAGAAATGTGGTCTGAAGCTATTAAAATTCTGAAAGGAGAATACACCGTTCGGGCAATCAAAGAACATAAGATGGACCAAGCCATTATTTTCTGCAGGACTAAAATAGATTGCGATAATATGGAGCACTACTTTATTCAACAGGGTGGAGGTAATGTATTTTTCATGAAAACCTTATTCTGCTCACTTTCTTGTTTATTTCAAAGCCAAAATTGTATGATAGAGCACACCGATATTTGGACGCTGCACCAATAAAATTGTGCTCGAGTTTTTTGGCTAGCATAAAAGTCAGGGTGTGGTAGCAGGGAGCTGCAGGGGTGCCCTTTGTGGGAGGAGGCAACGAACTGCCTTGTACCTGTTCCAGACAGCATCGTGAGATGGCTGGAAACAACCCAGCATTTGATCCAATGCAAAGAGTGTGTGGTGCCTCTGCTGAAATGCATATAAGAAAAAGTGATAGTTGCTAGGGGTAGGAGACACGAGAAGTGTGTGTGTACAAAAAGTACACCCAAGGAGACATGGAAGGAGAAAGGTGAGAGAAAACGCAGGAGGACACTGAAAGGGGACGTGTGAGGAGAAGGGTGAAGACACACATTTGGAGAAACAGGGGAAGTTCAAACTAGGAAGGAGTGAGGAGACATGCCTGCACAGAGCTCCTCTGGGGAGGGGGGGAAGGAAAGGTGTGTCTTTAATTTTTTGTCTTGTTTTTTTCCCCTAATGCCTGTATCAGTAATTAGAAGTTTATGTTAATTGGTAATAAGTGAAATTCCCAAGTCAAGACTTTTGCCCACAAAATGTACTCTTTTCGCAGTTGTACATGGTGTTGTGTCATGACTTATATATAGATGTTATTAATGCATAGTAACTCTTTCAGGGCCTGATAGGAAGGGACATCAGTTCTCATGTGTCTGTCTGCATGGTGACAGAAAACCTCAAGAAAGAAAGCAAAACCTGGAAAGATTTAAGGTGATGCAGCATATTCTTGAAGACTTTTCCTTCACTTCTCAATATATGAAATCATATGTTAATTTGTGTTGCTAGTTCTCAATTTAATTTGTGTTCAAATGCTCTATGACCTACTTCCTAAAATTCTGTGAGGCACAATTTCTGTAGTTGGAAATCTATACTGTCACTCAGTATGACTTTTGTGAGTTTTTATCGAGAGGATAGGTGGGCTTACTTTTAAGTAAAACCTAAATTTAAGCTCTGTAACAGATTACATTTGTTTTTTAAAGTTTTTGGTTCTTGAATATTAAAAAAAATATTTAAATATTAGAGGGTTTTGGATTTGACTAAGCCATTCATCAGTTTATACTTGTCTTATGCTTTGGGGAAAGAAATAAGGATATAAATTGACCAAGTTACTCATGTTCAAAAGGCAC